TTGTAATGGCTCAGCCATTCCCAGTCCTTATTCAATCCTAAATTGATTGTATCTAGTTTGCATATCAATTCCAGCTGGTGCCACAAGTACTCCTGTTCTTTTTGCGGATACAGACTAACACGGCTGCTACTCTGAAACCTGTCTTTATGCTCCCTTGTTCACTGAACAACCACCCTGCCTTCCTCCAAATCATTCTTTAAAACATGCTACTTTTGTGAAGAATTTAACACCAGCTCTATAAAGCAGGGACTGTTTTTCTCTGTATAAGGCCAAGTGTCCAGCCAGCCAGCTCTCTCTAAATGCTAATATAATTTATTTATTCCTATTGCAGTAGCAGCTCGGTGATCCAGATATGGACCAGGATGTCACTCTGCTGACCACTGTACACACACACAACAAAAATATTCTCCTTGTCCCAAAGAGATTCCAATAACATCAGAGGTGAAAGTAAGCCAGTCCGATCCAGTATGCTATTCTGGCAAGAGGCGGTACGCCATGCCGGACTGGACCGGCTTCTCCAGCGGTGCTTTAAAGAACCCAGGGCTCCAGCCCTCCAGCCCTGGGTCCTTTAAATCACTGCCGGAGCTCCGGCAGCCGGACTCGGGCAGGGATTTAAAGGTCCCGGAGCTCCAGTCCCTGAGGGGAGCCCCAGGCCTTTTAAAGCACTGCCTGAGCCCCGCTGCTGGCGCTCCGGCGGTGCTTTAAAGGGCCCAGGGCTCCCGCAGCGGCCAGAGCCCTGGGCCCTTTAATTCGCCTCTGAGTCCCGGGGCTCCCAGCCGCCTCGGCAGCTGGTAGCTCCAGGCTGATTTAAAGGCCCTGGGGCTCCCAGCCGGAGCCTCAGGGCCTTTAAATCTTGAAAGGCCCCACCTCTTCCGGTTGAGGCCATGCCCCGCTCAGGACTCCGGCGTACCGGTAAGTCCTTTAAGTTACTTTCACCCCTGGATAACATTACCATCATATCAGATACCATGATGAGACACTTGGTATTAAAACCAAGATATATATATCAAGGTGCCTTTCAGCAATAAAGGGACCATTTAAAATGTAGATATAGGGCCAATTTCTGCCCTCTTTTCCACCGATACAGCCCAAATTACTGAAGTGGCACTGGTGTAACTGAGGGTAGAATTTTGTTGGAGTGTGGCCCTAGTGGAAATTTCTGGTATATTGCATTAGCTTTAACTGGTCCCTTGTTTTTTACTGGAGGATCCATTGGTTTGTTCCAAAAACCAGTTGCCAACTGGAAATTTTCAATGTGAGTTTCCAGTAGGGTGAATAAAGCCAATTTGGGAGAAGGATCCTAGTGTATCCTGCCTGGGAAATGTTTTGATACTATCCATGAAGTCTATACAGCTGTTCTCAACCTGTGGTCTGTGAGGCTCTTCCTGGCCAGCCACAGAATGACATATTTTGAGAGCCAAGTGTTGGGAAGACGGTTTTGGGTGGGAGGGTGGCTCCATGAGGGGAGTTCTCTCTGAGGACGTGGTCTGCAGAATGAAAAGGTTGGGGAACCACTGATGTAGTACATTCCAAGGACCAAAAACAACAACAACAACAAAATTGTGTGGAAAAAATGGTAAACAGTGAGGTGAAATAATTTGCAGATGATACAAAACTACTCAAGATAGTTAAGTCCAGGCAGACTGCGAAGAGCTACATAAGGATCTCTCAAAACTGGGTGACTGGGCAACAAAATGGCAGATGAAATTCAATGTGGATAAATGCAAAGTAATGCACATTGGAAAACATAATTCCAGCTATACATATAAAATGATGGGGTGTAAATTAGCTGTTACCACTCAAGAAAGATCTTGGGGTCACTGTGGATAGTTCTCTGAAAACATCCACTTAATGTGCAGCAGCAGTCAAAAAAGCAAACAGAATATTGGGAATCATTAAGAAAGAGATAGATAATAAGACAGAAAATATCATATTGCTATATCAAATACTACATGCAGATGTGGTCGCCCCATCTCAAAAAAAGATATACACCTCTACCCTGATATAACATGACCCGATATAACATGAATTCGGATATAACGCGGTAAAGCAGCGCTCCAGAGGGGCGGGGCTGCATGCTCCAGCGGATCAAAACAAGTTCGTTATAACATGGTTTCACCTATAACACGGTAAGATTTTTTGGCTCCCGAGGACGGCGTTATATCGGGGTAGAGGTATATTGGAAAAGGTTCAGAAAAGGGCAACAAAAATGATTAGGGTTATGGAACGGCTTCTATATGAGGAGAGATTAATAAGACTGTGACTTTTCAGCTTGGAAAAGAGACGCCGAACAGGGGATATGATAGAGTTCTATAAAATCATGACTGGTGTGGAGAAAGTAAATAAGGAAGTGTTATTTACTCCTTCTTATAAAACAAGAACTTGAGGTCACCAAATGAAATTAATAGGCAACATTTAAACATTTAAAATAAACAAAAGGAAGTATTTCTTCACACAACACAGAGTCAGCCTGTGGAACTCTTTGTCAGAGGATGTTGTGAAGGCCAAGACTATAACAGGGTTCAAAAAAGAACTAGGTACATTCATGGAGGGTAGGTCCATCAATTGCTATTAGCCAGGATGGGCAGGGATGGTGTCCCTAGCCTCTGTTTGTCAGAAGCTGGGAATGAGTGACAGGGAATGGATCACTTGATGATTACCTGTTCATTCCCTCTGGGGCACCTGGCATTGGCCACTGTCAGAAGACAGGATACTGGGCTAGATGGACCTCTGGTCTGACCCAGTATGGCCATTCTTATGTTCTTGTGTGTGGAGGGCGGGGTGCAGATCTACCCCTGTCTACTACTGTTTAGCTGAAATCAGCTACCCTGTCTGAGCAATTCTAGTTATAGGCAACTGCCCATCCCCTTTCGCCCAGTTCAGACAGCATAGACATCTTGCCTTCATGTCCATTCACCTGCTGCAAGATCCACCACCAAACGGGTGCAGGCCCTGGGCCCACGTTAATGGGAATGGCTCTTGTGTCTGGTGTGTAATGCTCCTTAGTGAACCCGTGGCTGCCTGATTCACAGTCATGCTTGTAGGGCATAACGAGTGGGGTCCTGCAGGGATCGGTTATGGGTCTGGTTCTGTTCAATATCTTCATCAATTATTTAGATAATGGCATAGCGACTACACTTATAAAGTTTGCAGATGATACCAAGCTGGGAGGGGTTGCAAGAGCTTTGGAGGATAGAATTAAAACTCAAAATGATCTGTACAAACTGGAGAAATGGCCTGAAGTAAATAGGATGAAATTCAATAAGGACAAATGAAAAGTAGGAAGGAACAATCAGTTGCACACATACAAAATGGGAAATGACTGCCTAGGAAGGAGTACTGCAAAAAGGGATCTGGGGGTCATAGTGGACCACAAGCTAAATATGAATCAACAGTGTAACGCTGTTGCAAAAAAAGCAAACATCATTCTGGTATGTATAAGCAGGAGTATTGTAAGCAAGGCACGAGAAGTAATTCTTCCGCTCTACTCTGCACTGATTCGGCCTCAACTGCAGTATTGTGTCCAGTTTTGGACGCCACATTTCAGGAAAGATGTGGACAAATTGGAGAAAGTCCAGAGAAGAGCAACAAAAATGATTAAAGGTCTAGAAAACATGACCTATGAGGGAAGATTGAAAAAATCGGGTTTGTTTAGTCTGGAGAAGAGAAGACTGAGAGGGGACATGATAACAGTTTTCAAGTACATAAAAGGTTGTAACAAAGAGGAGGGAGAGAAATTGTTCTTAACCTCTGAGGATAGGACAAGGAGCAATGGGCTTAAATTGCAACAAGGGCGGCTTAGGTTGGACATTAGGAAAAACTTTCTGTCAGAGTTGTTAAGCACTGGAATAAATTGCCTAGGGAGGTGGTGGAATCTCCATCATTGGGGATTTTTAAGAGCAGGTTGGACAAACACTTGTCAGGGATGGTCTAGATAATACTTAGACCTGTCCTGAGTGCAGGGGACTGGACTAGATGACCTCTCGAGGTCCCTTCCAGTTCTATGATTCTACCATATGCTGTGGCTCAGGGTATGTCTATGCTACAGCAGCTCTGCTATGGAGCTGCAGCTGTGCTGTTGTAAGGCTGCTCCCTGCATTGCCGGAAGGGGTTTTTCCAACGCTGTAGAGAACCCATCTCTGTGAGAGATGGTAGGTAGCTTGAGGGAAGAATACTTCTGTTGCTCTAACCCTTCTACACCAGGGGTTAGGTCTGCCTGACTACAGTGCTGAAATTTGTCACAGCCCTGGAGCAATGCAGCTAGGTTCCACCTACGTTTTCATGCCCAATGCCCCTGCCCATGATGGTTCTGGCATTGTGTGCAATATCTAGCTCTGTGTCCCAGACTGGGACCTGGCCAATGACCATGTGAGTGTACCCCACACACCTCTTGGGTGTGATGGTTTGTTCCCTTTAGTGGCATCCAGACCACTTAGAGAGGAATGAGTCCGCTACAGCTAAGGGCCAGCGTTTAGCTCAAGCACTAGAGGCACATGCATTTAGCTCCTGAGGTCCCAGGCTAGATCCTTGCCCGCCTACCACTGGGGTCTGTCGGTATTACATGAGCACAGTGCCCTCCAGTGCAGGGAGGCTGCCTGTTGGCCACCAGCTCTAGGACTCAGGCCGGGAGGCACCTGCCAAGGGCTGCTGCACAGGGCGTGTTTGCGAAGCCCTTTCACTTAACCAAAAGCGGCCTGCTGCTGGCCAGCCGGGAGACCCCCTGGGACCTGCTGCGGCGTCTGTGTGCGCTCGCTGGCACGTGTGCGGGAACTCCAGCCAACTGGCCCGAGGGTGGGTGGGTGTGTGTGTGTGAGAGGGGGGCGGTGATGGAAGGAGGAAACTCCGCCGCTCCGAACGGCCCGTGAAGAGCCGCGGCAGCCGCAGGGGGACACCGGAGTCGCGTCACTCTCAAGCGGAGCAACCTCTGCCTGGCGGGGAGCGGCCGGCAGCGCCCTCTGTTCCCTGGCTGCGGAGAGCAGCCGCTGCGTGCACAGGCGAAGGGGCAGCGGCTCTTATCTGAGCCACAGCGTCTCCCGCTTCCTTCCCCTGCGGCAGCGACACCCAGCAGGTACCGTGCCGGCTCCGCGGGCAGGTCCCAGGGCTGGCTCCAGAGGGGGCGAGTCTCCTGGGGGTCGGACGGGCTCAGACACAGTCCCGGCGTGTGGCTACCGCGGGCAGGTCAGCGAGCGTCCAGACGGGAGCCGGTGTAAAGCTTCCCCTAAGACGTGCGGCGTCCCGCGGCTGGGGCCAGCAGAGGGCTGGGTGGGATGGAACAGGGGCTGGTTAAGGGAGCCGGCTGCCCGGGATGCTGCTGGCTGTGCTGCTCCCCAACCGGGGGCGGGGGCAGGCTGTGATTTTGGGGGGATGGTGAGCCAGGGAAGTGAGTCTCCCCTGGCTTGTCACCGGGACAGCTCGGAGACTAATCGAAGGTGGAGGCTGCAAAGCAGCGTGGCAGATCCACGTGTAAAATCCTCCCCTGTGTTTTCCCCCTTCCAGAGGGGTTTGCGCTGTTCATTCAATCGCTCAGCCGCGGGCGGTCCCCATTGGGGGAAATGACCCACGCTGCATCCAGAGTTGGGGGTTTGTCTGCGACAAGAAAAGTTAAATGGAGACGCTCATTGACAGCTTCGTTTCAATAGACGGATTGATCTCCGGGCAGGTCTGCGTTCCAGGCAGGAGAGCGGGTAACTAACCCACTGGCAAGCTACGCGCAGCAACCATTGCGTGAGTTTATCTGGAGTTTATCCCTGGGCAGCCTGAACACAGATCATTGCATGAGCGGATCTGGGACGGGGTTGCAGCAGGAGAGTGGTGTTTGGGTCAATTTCCCACTCTTTCTCAGGCAGCCTCCATCGGTCTGTCTCCCCCGGCCAAACCTCTCACGTTTGCGAGGCGCTCTGCAAATCTGTAGCTAATTCCCTGCAGCGGCTGGCTGGCGTGTTCGCTTTTGCCTGCCCGTTAAGTAGGGAGCGTTTGCTGAGGTGCTCTGGGTACCCGCCTGCTCTTTGGCTCCCCGCAGATGCTCGCTCCATGCAGCGCCGGTGCAGGTGCCAAACACCTGGCAGCAGTTTCTGGGGCGTCATCTAGATAGCACAGCTGGGTCTGCAGTGCAACTGCCTTACCGCCTACAGTGTGGACACCACTGGGGGCTCGATGGCTACCCAAGCACTCTACGTCCCCGGTTCAGGCCGGTGATATCATCAGCTCAGGTGTTTTGGCTTTGCACTTAATTAATACACTGCAAATAATTCATGCACAACTAGGTAGTAATTAATATTAACCACTGAGGTGGGTAATATACATTTATAATGTTTAGAGTATCAGAGGGGTAGCCCTGTTAGTCTGGATCTGTGAAAAGCAACGAAGAGTCCTGTGGGACCTTATAGAAAGCTTATGCTCCAATCTGTCTGTTAGTCTATATGGTGCCACAGGACTCTTTGTCAGTGTTTAGAGTAGGCGATTGGGAGTCAGGCTGTGCCCCGACTTGCTGTGTAACCTTGAGCAAGTCCCTTCAGATCACTGTGCCTCAGTGTACCCTTCTGTAGAATGAGGATAATTATATTTACCCACCGTTTAACACGCTTTGAGATCACTCGGTGAGAAGTGCTATGTTAGTGCTCAGTATCATTTGTGAGCTAAACTTTGTTCAGCTCTTTTTATTTGATTGGATTTCTGGAGAGCGAGACACTATAGGGGGGAATCCTCCCAGAGCTGCAGAAAGAGGGAGTAATATGCACACTGACTGTGAGTCCTCCAGGACAGGCAATAGGTTTGAACCACAGCCCTGCAGCAGCACCAGATTATCATTACATTGCCATCTCTTCCCCGGGAGGGGGAAACGCACTGCTTTGGATCAGAATTAAACAGACACAGGAAGTGCTCCAGAGTTTAGGTATTCGGACTATGGGGAAGGAGGCCATACAGGTTGACAGATCAGTTCCTCCATCTACCTATGTGGAATTCCTTAGTGCTTTTTGAACCAGTTATTGTTTAAATATTTCCTTAGACAATGGAGAAGGAATGACACAGGTGGGTCGCCATATTCAGTCCTAATGTATGTGCATGCAACTCTATTGAACTCTGGAGTTGCAATTGCTGAGAGCAATGCTGCATCTTTCTCAAGTTCAGCTACTACAGTGAGGAGCTTGATCTAATTGTTTATTTTCTTCAAATGTATCCAGCTGTGGTTAGTATCTGAGTGCCAGTTTGGCCTGTGGTGTTCACTGGAATGATATTGCTAACTTTCTCAAAATTGCAACAAGCTGTATATTGCTTTGTACAGGCAAATGCATAGATGGTGCCCAGGTGCAGTTGCCAAAGATCATTGTTTCATTATAAATATTGAAAATGCCTTTTGTTGTTTCTAGAGCGGAAACATTCCATATTGTGTGATGTGATTGGTCTTTGTTGGGCATTGAAGAATTACAAAGCAGCCACTTAGATTTCCATAAAACAGAACAAGACAAAAAAAAAAATTTACCAAGAACAATAGGGATGATTTGGGAACAGTCAGACCGTATACCAAACAGCTCATTCTTGTCTGCTCCCAAGCTGCTCATCTGCATAGCTCTGTCTTTACACAGATGCAGACTAGCACATTAGTTGCAACAATATACTCAATCACCTTTTACTATTCTTATTCTTGCATTTCTAGTCAATAGGAAAAGATACCTGGATTCCATTTTAATCTTTAGTGAATGGATTAACACACTGCAAAGTAGTTATCTAATATTCCTCTAACGTGAATTGTTACATGTGAAATGATTAATTTTATCTTTGTCTTTTAGTAGTTTACTCAGCTGAAGATGAGAGAATGATGATGGGCCTTTTTGCTTACAGTGGGTTTTCAGAGGGAGATATGCCCCTACAGATACCATGGTGATGATTAGTGGTTTGATCTGCATCCATTAAAGTCAATTGGAATTTTGCAATTGACTTGAATGGGGTAAGGCTCAAGAAGAGATTCATGTGTGTGTGTTTCAAAAATTGTTTTAGAAAATTAAATATAAATAATGTATTTTATAAAGTGTCCCCTCCCAAAACCATTGGGATGCTACTTATTAATTATGCAATAATTATAAAAACAATAATTAATTAAAAACACAAAACTACTATATGACTGCCAAAGCATTATAAAGCAAACAAAGAATAAACTAATTACAAAAAATCCTCAGCTCCAAGTTATAAAATAGACTCCAAATAAACCACATGCACGATCCATAGTATAACACAAGTGGGGATAATTAACAGGGTCACAAGAACACAGGTAAATTAAAGCCTCTATAATTTAACCTATCAAAAATGCCATAATCATTTAATGAGATGCTATTTGTGCAGACTGTCTCACTCTGATACTCAAAGGTATTTAGGCACCTAATTCCCATTGATTTCAATGTAAGTTAGAAGCCAAAATACATCTCAGGATCTGGGCCTTTGTGTTTACAGTGTTCAGAATTATGGAATGATTCGGCTTTCTTTTTGCATCCAAAACCCTGCTGAAGTCAGGGGGAGTTTGGGTGTGAAAGGAATATAGCACTGGGCTCTCAAAACTCTTATCTTTGCAAAGTCTTTTTGCTCCAGTGCACTGGTCTTTTAGGCCTGGAAGTCTCCTTTTCCTCTTTCGCCCAAGTGCTGGTCAACTGACAGCCAATTAGCTGGAAGCACTAGGGAGTGAGGGAGGTCAAAAGAATAACTTCCCACTAAGGACTAGATATGTAAAGATGTAAGGGTACCTAAAAGCATGTAAAGATACAGATAAGATGCCTATTGGAATTTTCACAAGCACTTTGGTACTCAACTCCCATTGGTTTCAGTAGAAGTTAGGCTTTATTTGCATCTTAGGTGCCTAAAATACCTTTACAAATCTGGTCATAAGTGCATCACCTGCGCTCCTCCATCTAAAAAGCTGCCATATTCTTACAAAGAAAAAAAAAAGGACTTACACAAGAAATTCACTTAAACTTTCTATAAAATATTACACCCAAAGCCTCAGACTTGTTGCCTGCCTTATACTGAAAATAAAATCGATTTCCTTATCTTGCTCCTATGACCATAGTATCTGAGCACCTTACCAGTATTAATGAGTTTAACCTCACCACTCCACTGTGAGATAGGGAGTTATTATTCACTCCCATTTTACAGATGGGGAATTATGGCCCAGAAAGATTAAGGCCAAAATGTTCGCATGGCCAGTAATTTTGTGTGCTCACCCAGAGACAGCTTGTGTTTAAACTCTTTATCTTCCCTCATTCCAGGGCCGGCTGGGGATCAGGGTGGTCTCCAGCATATACTAGAGCAGCCTGAAGGCTCCTGTAATTTACACCCGGCTCCAAATAGGCTGATTGATCAGCCAGGCATCAACTGGATTTCCTGTCTTTGCCCACATTTCCCTGGCCACAGTCTCTACATTGCACTTGTTGACAGAGCCACTATGTCAGTCTGTAGTTGGCTGACACTCAGGGCTGGTCCACACTAAGCCCCCAGTTCGAACTAAGATACGTAACTTCAGCTATGTGAATAAGGTAGCTGAAGTATCTTAGTTCGAACTTAAAGGTACTTACCGCGGGTCCACACGCGGCAGGCAGGCTCCCCCGTCGACTCCGCCTACTCCTCTCACGGAGCAGGATTCCCAGAGTCGACGGCGAGCACTTCTGGGATCGATTTATCGCATCTAGACAAGGCACAATAAATCGATCCCAGAAGATCGATTACTTGCTGCCGAACCAGTGGGTAAGTATAGATGTACCCTCAGCCTGGACTTAGTTGTAGTTTCTTTGAATTTCATGCATCTGGATACCCTACAGGAGTACCCACTCCTGGACAATCTCATTGATCGCAGTGAGAGTTCAGCTCACACCCGGGCTCCTTTCTGAGTCCCGTAACAGTTCACTTGCCTCTAATCCCGGGCGGCTGTCCCCAGGTTCCGCGAGGCGAGGGAACTCCCCCTACGTTTGTGTGGGGAGTCTCATCCTTTTAAACTCCACTTCTCCAGGTGAAACATGTTCTGCAGGTGTGCCCGAGTGCAGGAATGCTCATTAGCCTTTCTATCAGTGGGATGGGGTCATGTCTCATCACATACTTGCCCCCCTTCCCGCCCTCAACACCAGAAGAGTTTCTTGCTCGAGCATTTCTCCAGTCCCAATCTCCCTGGGGAAAAAATATCTGCATTTGCATGCTTTTTCCCTGCGTGGTGCTGTACCCAGAAGCTATAGGGCTGGAGCGCTAGATACCAGCTGATAATCCAGAGGGGTGAGTCCTTCATATAGTGTAGCCTCCACAAGGTCATGTGGCAGGTGGTTTGGGAAAAGGGACTACCCAGCATATAATAGCTTTCCCCCAAAGCTCTTTTCTAAAGGCCCAACCATGTCCTCCCTTTTCTTTCAAATGGGGTTTCCACTAATGGCTTTGGGACCAAGGGGGCCTTTGGAACATTCTTAGCTGCCAAATTCTGACACTCAGGACAGGAAGGGCAATATTTCCTAACCTTGTGCTGTACCCCACATCCCCCAGAAGAAGCAGGCCAGTAACCATTGCAAGGTCTTATCCCGCCTTAGATGCCCCGCACAGATAATATGACAAGCTAGCCGCATTACATCTTGGCAATGCTTACGTGGTACCAGTAGCTAAGTTCTCATTAACCCTGACTGCAGGTTCCGTGCCACTCGATACAGCCACTCTTTCTCCAGAACACTTACTGGCTGGAGGAACCTGTTTCTGTCTCAAGG